ATAGTTTTGTATTTCATAACCGCTGGAATTACCACAGCTGTATAAGTACAACTATGAATGAGGATGCTTTAATCATACAACAAGAGTCCTGGTTTGTGGACGTTAAATCTGTTACACACCTTAAATGTACATATCAGTACCTAAAAAATTGGTATTGTACTGTTTAGGTACTATCTACATTTAATATATTGATATTAGTTAATATCATTACACTTTTGAAAGAGTCAACCCAGGATCATTCTGAAAATGTACCATTATATAAATTTCTGGAGAACTTCAAATATGTCCCAGGAGCTTCTCCTTCCTTAAACCCAATCAATAGTGTCTTCAAAAGCACACCCACTTCCCTAAACCCATCCAACAGTTTTAAAAAGCAATCCAGCAAAGGAAAAGCCCTCGCTTGATATTTACCACACTATCAGATTTTACCATTCTTTAAAGGCTTGTACAAATGCTTTTTTTTTTGTTTTTGTTGTTTGACACCCGCATATAACACAGAAGACAGAAAGTTGACACGCTTGTTGTTAAAGTTACTGGCGATTTGAACAAGCATGGATAGTTCAAGTAGCAGCTCCAGCTCTAGCGATGAAGAAATGATTATTGTTCACCAGTGCAATAAGCAGCTCCACGTTCGGCTATGGATCGGCTATGGGCATCTTCTTCAATGTGTGCTCGCATTGACAATTTTGCTCTTGAGTGTCTCCCAGTGCTGTTTACTGTAACCTCAGCAGCTCCATGCACATGACCAAAAGTGGCAATCTGATTGGTGGAGAAGATTTTGATGTGGCGCATCAAAACAAAAAAACAAGCATGATGCGTTTCTTTAAAAATTACACTTTTACGCCTGGCATTTTGTGAGTTGGTGTGAACAATTAAATTGGCAACCTTTATTTCAGGGGTGGCCAACCCTGTTCCTGGAGAGCCACCTTCCTGCAGATTTCAATTGCAACCCATATCAAACACACCTGAACCAATTAATTAGGACCTGAACACCACGTGATAATTACAGGCAGGTGTGTTTGATATGGGCTGCAACTGAAATCTGCAGGAAGGTGGCTCTCCAGGAACAGGGTTGGCCACCCCTGCTTTATCTAGACACAAGATGTTAATCATTGATGGAAAACACTCCGATGTGAACAGGCATTTACCCTGTTATTTACAGGTTTATTTTATTCTTTGGCTTCTGTTCTTGTCTTACCTGCTTTCTGGAACCGTTCTTCACCGGACTCGACCTCCGTAGTCATGGTCAACTCCTCTCTGCATCATTTTGAGGTAATCGGTCAGTAAGCGTGAAAAGAAATAGCATCATACCGCCCTGTAGCATTTGTTCTGAAGACGAAATGCAGAACTTCTTCTGGCTACATAATTTTTGATCTCCTGAAATGAATATAGGGCTACGTTTTCAGAATGAAGCTATGCTGCAACAGGTACAACTACAGTGACTGCTTGTGTACTTTTATTCCTGAGAGTGCAGTTAAAGTAAAAAATGACCTTGATTGTATGATTGGATATGCTTATTACACTTTTTGTTTCTGGAAGGATTTTATAATGGATGTTATTTACAATTTGTGAAGACTTTATCATGAACTATTTATGTTACAAATAAATGCAGTATCTATTCATGAAAGGATACTGTAAACTGCTCCATAAATGTTTTAAGCAGCACTTTTTAACATTGGAAATAATATAAAAGCACATACATTAGCACAACAGGGCGATTCCTGAAGGATCATGTGACTTTTGAGGCTCTTGCTGTGTTGCTGAATTTGACCCTATTACCCTATTTTCCTCCATATTTCACTGTATTTTGATCAAAAGATTGAGCCTTGAGGACTTAATAAACACGCACTGTAAAAAGTGATTAGTTGACTTTACTTTAAAAAACTGAGTAAACCTGTTACCTTACAATAAACAAGTACATTAACTCTTTAAAAACTACTGGGTTCCACCGAATTGATTTGTGTCTGGAAAACATAAAGGAATTAAGTTAGCATAGTAGTTTTTACAAATTTAAGTGTTGATTTAAGGATTAAACATAAAACAATTATGGTGTCCTACAAAAACAATCAAGAATTGTGTTGTTTCAGCTCATTTTAAATAGTTAGAACAAACAGCAAACATCTTTTTTTTATTAAGTAAACTGTGTATAGTTATAAAAAAATTAATTGAAGTTAACTAACAGTTAACGAAACCTTTCCAAGTTACATTAGGTTTACTCACTTTTTAAGTAAAATGCTTAGTATGTAGTAAAATTTATAGACTTAAATTTGGATACAATAAAAAATAAATATTGACGTTCCTTTACAGCTCTTACGCAAAGATAATGATATAATAAGATTATACTTGTGTTATAACCAGGACACACAATGGGGTTCTTGGATTTGTGAATGGGACCCTGCTGGTATTTTTGAGTTTGTTTGGCCATGAGAGAAGCACACAATTATGAAATTCAGTTAATCACCTTTAAACAACGTGCAATTGATGATGAAGGAGAGAGAGGGGGTTATATAAATGCCTTTTATTAGAAATCAGCTCAAAGCAAAGATGAGTCACATAAACCTTATATTTGTGGATGTTTTCTTTTTCTTCTGTGCTGAAGCATCGGCTTACCTCTCTTCCAAACAGCAGATTGAAATGTCCTCCAAAGTTCTTTCAAACACACATAATTAGGGTTACACACACACAGAAAAAAAAAGGTTCTTGAGTTTTTTTTTTTTTGTGGTAGTTGAGAGACTATTTATCATCGCTAAGTGGTTCTTTGGCTTGTAATCATAGGGAAATTAACTTCATAGCACCAGTAATGCTCCTTAGGGGAGGTTAAGATCCTAAGTACAGTTAAAGTCAGAATTATTAGCCCCGCTGTTTTTTTTTCTTCCCCAATTTCTGTTTAATGGAGAGAACACATTTCACATTCAACACATTTCTAAACATAACAGTTTTAATAACTCATTTTTAATAATTTATTTATTTTATTATTGCCATGATGACTAAATAATATTATATAATAATTTAATAATACTTCTATACAGCTTAAAGTGACATCTTTTCCCCATCTCTTTAAATGAAATGCTTAATTTTATTACATCCAATCAGATCACAGCAGAAAAAAAACTTCCACGCTCACTTTTTAATATTTTGTTTTTTTAGAAACTGCATCACAATACGAAGAAACAAAAATGGTTGCAGCTCCTGGTTCATGTAAACTTAAAAAAAAGCCTATATTTAATGGGGACTTGAATGTCCCTTTAAAGCAACAGACTCTAGACACCTCTTCATGTTGGCAGTGCTCACATCACTCAGCCCTTTTCATTTGGTTACAAGATTCATCCACAATGAGTTCATGAATACAGAAAGTATTGTTTTTTTTTTGATTGTCAAATTTTACAATCATTCAAATTCCACCTTGCAACAAATTAGTTGCAGTAAACTGTTGTAGAGAAAAAAAAACGCATTACATTTCTATTGCTTATGCTTAGGCAGTGCCTGCTGTTTGTCAAAGTACCCCTTGAATCCCCCCGATCAGTGAATGGCTGCTGTTTACTGGCTGCATGAACTGTGACTTCAGTCCACAAGCCCGTCACTGGACACTGCCTTCATTTCTCAGCTAAAACAGCACTGTTTATGATTGTTGGATATGTTTGTCTTAAATAGTTACTTATTTTCAAATGTCAAACATCTCTAGTCAATCTCTTGACTCTCCCTATGTTCATGTGTCATATTGCATACTCTCACATATACAGTATACATTTTTTTTGCATATTTTGTTTATGATTTATATTCTAATAATAATTAATAAAAAAATCTGATTGTAATTTAGATTAGAAAATTTCATATTTACAATATTATGAAATCATGCACTCATGGGTACCTGACAAAAGTCTTGTCATCTCTAAATTTTAGAAGCAACAAATAATAACTTGACTTCTAGCTGATCATTTAGTATCAGAAGTGGCTAATATGAAAGCCAAATACCTCTAGATTACAAGCACCTTGACCTTCTTTGCTTTCAGGAATTTTGATGTGGAGACTGAAGTATGAGAAGCAGCGCTATCCTGCTGAAGAATTTGCCCTCTCCTGTGATTTGTAATGTAATGGGCAGCAAAAATGTCTTGATACCTCAGGCTGTTGATGTTGCCGTTCCCTCTGCAGATCTCTCGCACGCCCCCATGCTGAGTGTAACACCAAACCATGATTTATCCTTCACCAAACTTGACTGATATCTATGAGAATCTTGGGTCCATGTAGGTTCCAATAGGTCTTCTGCAGTATTTGTGATCATTAAGATGCAGTTCAACAGATGATTCATCGGAACATCTACCTAAGTCAAGTTATTATTTGTTGCTCTTACATCTGGGATTAACAACAAGACTTGTGTCAGGTGGATGTATGTAAGGCAAGTCATCAATTTCTTTATGGCATGACTGCATTCTTTATGGCAATCCCTGATAATTGACTATTAGAAAGTCATATTTTGCTAACATAGAATAAACTATATTTTGTATTGCAATAATAATTATCATTATTACAAAGGATAGATAGATAGATAGATAGATAGATAGATAGATAGATAGATAGATAGATAGATAGATAGATAGATAGATAGATAGATAGATAGATAGATAGATAGATAGATAGATAGATAGATTGATGGATAGATAGATAGATAGATAGATAGATAGATAGATAGATAGATAGATAGATAGATAGATAGATAGATAGATAGATAGATAGATAGATAGATAGATAGATAGATAGATAGATAGATAGATAGATAGATAGATAGATAGATAGATAGATAGATAGATAGATAGATAGATTGATGGATGGATGGATGGATGGATGGATGGATGGATGGATATTATGAACAGTAATTCCACATAATATATATTTTTTAAATGTATGAAATTTATCTCAGAAACCCTCTAGAATAGCAAGTGAAAATTGTTCAATGTGCAAATGGTTGAATATTGTAAGTGTTTTTGACTAACAAAGAGCAGTACTGGCTATGAATTCTTTTATGGATGACATTACTAAAACATTGACAACAACACCAGACTGTGTCATTCATCTTCCAGCTTAAACAGGTCTTGTTTTGCGTCATATACTGATTTTTATAGATAAAAATACTCTTCTTGGCAGTGGTATAAAAAAAGAGCATTAACCTTGACGCATGGTCATTTTCAAACAGCCAGTGTAGAAAATTACAACAAATCTAAAAGAAAAATGGCATAAAACTTTCTAAAACATCAAAACTCGGCAAACACAAACAGACTCATTCGATTTCTTCAACATAAGGTCACACGACGCAAAACTCCCACTGGAAACAAATTCTGCAGCAAACAGTTTCCTTCCCCAAAGGCACAAACGCTCCCAATTCTCCAGAGAAATCCTAAGCTTTCTGCCAGTGCTGGGCAGCAGGAGATCCCGTCTGTAGCCCTGCGAAAAACACCTGGTACCTGTGCTTCCATATCAGGAAGGCTCCGAGCAGGCAGACGATGGCCTGGGCCAGGTTGAGCAGCACCTGCAGGAGGTAATACATGGGCAGAGTGCTGGTGATGTCACTGCAGTCTGACACAGCGCTGAAGACGAACATACGAGCGATGGGATCCTCTGGGTCCAGGGTGCAAATACAATCCTCACGCATTTCCCTGCAGCTAAAGCTGTTGGTCAGCGTGTAATGGTAGCACTGGAAGGCGATGACCACCACTGACATAACCAGACCCATTGTGCATAAGAAGAAATACAGGAGCTGGGTGGAAAAGAAAAAGCATTTATATAGTCATTAGTGGTCCCTGCTGAAATATCAACAACAAATTGAAACCATTACAGAAGTTATACTGGTTGTCTTATGTTTTTAGCTATTAATTAGCTGCTTATTAACATATTACCTTTACAGTATATTATGCATGATCCTATTCCACGTCCCAAATTTGACTCAATATCTAAGCCTTTCTAACTATTAATAAAGAGAAAATTAGACATGTTTTAAGGCATTAGTCATTGTTAATATTTTGTTTATACACTGTAAAATACTGTATTACATGGTTGCACTTAAGGGAACCTCTTATGCCTCTTTTTACAAGATGTAAAATAGGTCTGAAGTCTCTAAAGTGTGTTTTAATACCCAAAAGATCCAACAAATAATGTTTATGACTTTGAAACTGCCCCTTTTAGATTTTGATCCAAACTGTGGCATAATGGTGGCTGTCACTTTAAATTCAAATGAGATTGTGCTACCAGCTCTATTTTGAAAAGAAGGCAGAGCTAATGACTTCAAAGGTTGGTTTATTGTTAATTTGCACATTATATATGGATATTTTTAAATCATAAATGTAAATGGGCAGTGAAAAAACCTAGTTTTACTGATTTTGAAATGGAGATAAGGGATTACCTGTGTATGATAAAAGAAACAAAAAATACTAAAGCAAAAAGAACTGTTAATTATCTTAAAGCCTTAAATCTTCTCTATGAATCGTTGTAAATTTTTTATACTGTATTTATTTTGTTGTCAATTTAATGTTATGTCATCACCCTTGTATGTCCAGTGTTCTAAAATTGCAATTGAAAAAGCCGGAGCTAAAAAAAATGTTTATGTGACAGCATAGCAGCAGATTCAAAAACGGCTGCTTCTCACTCAGGGCTGTTTATGCTAATGAGGGAAAGATTGTCTCCAATGGGCGTGGCTTTTCCCCTCTGATGACATGTACAAACAAAGAATGTCAGTTAAAGTGTTTCTGCAGACTGATGAAGTGTGATTATAAAAAGTGTAATAACTTTAACGTTTAACATTAGAGGCTGGCTATACTCACCATTGCCACACAACTGTGTTTATGCATCTTATAAATGTGATTTAAGTAACTCTGCAACTCTCTCATGGTCGCTCACTGAAGCCAAGCAGGGCTGCCTGGATGGGAGACCATATGTGAAAGCTAGGTTGCTGCCAGAAGTAGTATAAGTAATACCAGTAGGAGGCACTCAACCTGTGGTCTGTGTGGGTCCTTATGGCCCAGTATATTGACTCTGTACTGCTCAGTGAGTGCTGTCTTTCAGACGAGACGTTAAACTGATGTCCTGACCATCTGTAGTCCACAAAAAGTGTAGGTGTTGAACTCTGGCATCCTGGCCAAATTTGCAATATGGCTACCGTCGTGTCATTCAAGTGGATGCTGCACACTGGTGGTTTGTTACGTTGGGCAGGAATTTGAAACTAATTCCCAAAAAAAAAGTGTAAAGCGCTTTGATTGTTCAGAAAAGTGCTACATAAATGTCAGAAATTATTATTGTTATTATCATTTAAATGATTCAATTGAGCCAAATTAACATTTAGTCATTTTAACTTTAATTAATTAAGCTGACTTTAAGATACTTGTATTGCTTAATTAATGTCAAAATGTAAGTTAAAACATGATAAACTTGTTATAATTAACATAAAAAATATGTTGACGTGAGTAATTTATTATATAATTATATTATTTTTACAGTTTAATGAGGATTAATGTGTAACCGTAATATTACCTTCTGTTGGCTTCATGTTAAAACCCATAAATCCTAATGAATATGTCCCAAAATATGTGAGAAACCATTAAAATGTGCTTGTTTTAAGGGTTAAAGTTTAATTGTTGGCGACACAGTGGCGACACATTTTTTTTGGTCAAGAAAGGTCTATATAACATTTCCTCCATACTTACTGTACTCTGGAAGGGCCTTAATCAGCAGTAAGGACGTATTTCTGTCACATTAAACAATCACTGCACACAGAAAGCAAATTGATGTGTCTATATGGTGGACACGATTGGCGTAGGAGGCAAAAATCTAGCTGTGACAATCGGTTTATGCTTAACCATTCTCCAATGAATGCAAAAGGGTAAATGCGTTTACATGACCACATGCAAATTCAGCTTATTAAGCTTAATCAGGTTAAAATGTGCATGTAAGCGCACTCATTGAAGACTTGCTCATCTTTAGAGCGCAAACGTGACCCTGGTCTACAAAAGAAGTCGTAAGTGTCAATTCTTTGGAATTGTAACCTAACATAATTGAACAGAAAGCATTATTGAGCTTTTGTCACTGTGAGCAAATTTGAACATTGCCAACTGATCAATGTTTATAAGTGGATATAAGCATAACTTTAATTAACTCTTCATCATGCAGAGTGATTATGTCTCTTCAAAAGACATATAGTTGCTTTCACCTGGATCTTTTTCTAAACGTTTTTAAAGGTTTGGGTGAATAGACTGGAAAAATGGAAATGACATTTTAATGGACTAAAACGCCTATACTTGTTCATTTAAAACCAGCTCAGGCTTCTGGCTTGATGACTCAGGAATGTTACTGCCAATGTTGATGGTCAATTAAATATCGAAAATATGTCTCATTAAAGGAAGAGTATAAATTTAGGTTTTGTCATTTAAAGGCATAGTTCACCCAAAATTAACATTTTCATAAAGACAGATAAGAGACAGAAAATGTTCTGTGCAACAACACTTCTTTTAAATGTCATTCTCCTATAAAACCAAAGCACCATGAGAGTATTTTACATAAGATTTCTTTTTTAAAATCACTTTTTAATACAGAGGCAAATGTCTTGTTTAACATTTGCTCTACATCCACTGACTACTTTATTAGGTACACCTTACTAGTACCAGGTTGGACCCTTTATTGCCATCAAAACTGCCTTAATCCTTCTTGGTACAGATTCAACAAGGTACTGGAAATTTTCCTCAGAAAATAATGGTCCATATTGACATGATAGCATCACACAGTTGCTGCAGATTTGTCGGCTGCATATCCATGATGCGAATCTTCCGTTTCACCACATCCCAAAGGTGCTTTATTGGTTTGAGTTCTGGTGACTGTGGAGGCCATTTGAGTACAGTGAACTCATTGTCATGTTCAAGAAACTGGTCTGAGATGATTTGCACTTTGTGACATGGCTCGTTATCCTGTTGGAAGTAGCCATCAGAAGATGGGTATAGGGTCATAAAGGGATGGACATGGTCGGTCAGCAACAATACTCAGGTAGGCTGTGGCATTGACACAATGCTCAGTTGGTACAAATAGGCCCAAAGTGTACCAAAAAAATATCCCCCACACCATTACACCAACACCTGCCTGAACCATTGATACAAGGCAGGATGGCTCCATGCTTTCATGTTGTTAATGCCAAATTCTGACCCTACCATCTGAATGTTGCAGCAGAAATCGAGTCTCACCAGACCAGGCAACTTTTCTAAAAATCTTCTATTGACCAGTTTTGATGAACCTGTTTCATCAAAATTGTAGCCTCAATTGTAGCCTCACTTCCTGTTTTTAGCTGACAGGAGTGGCACCCAGTGTGTTCTTCTTCTGCTGTAGCCCATTCGCCTCAAGGTTGGACGTGTTGTGCGTTCAGAGATGCTCTTCTGCATACCTCGGTTATAATGAGTGTTTATTTGAGTTATTGTTGCTTTTCTATCAGCTCAAGCCAGTCAGGCCATTCTCCTCTGACCTCTGACATCAACAAGGCATTTGTGCCCACAGAACTGCCGCTCACTGGATAATTTCTTTTTTTCTGACCATTTTCTGTAAACTCTAGAGATGGTTGTGCATGAAAATCCCAGTAGATCAGCAGTTTCTGAAATACTCAAACCAGCCCGTCTGACACCACCAACAATGCCACGTTCAAAGTCACTTCAATCATCTTTCTTCCCCATTCTGATGCTCGGTTTGAATTGCAGCAGATCATCTTGACCATCATGTCTACAAGCCTAAATGCACTGAGATGCTGCCACGAGATTGGCTAATTAGAATTTTGCTTTAATGAGCAGTTGGACAGGTGTACCTAATATAGTGGCTGGTGAGTGATTAGGGATTAGAACATCATGGGGTAAGTAATTGACCATTTTATATGACACTTTTTAAACTTCTGAATAAATAATTCCTTTAAAGTCCACATGAAATCACAATTTACAATGTTTATTTAGCTGTTAGCACACATTGTTAAACTTAAGGTGAACGATTAATATACTGCATGTTAGTATCTTTTCCTTAAAATCTGACTATTTGCTTCTGTTTCAGAATATCAGTCCTCTGATGACATCAGTTTGACAGCTTAGGCAAGATATGCTTAGCCACGCCCTTCTGTTAGTTTGATGCAAAAAAATAAATAAATAAATGAGGGGAGGAGCTCAAATATTAAACCCCACCCCCTACTCAATATTCTATTTCAGTTGTAAAAACATCATCATACTGGACTAAAAGTCTGCAGCAACTTCAATTTCACATGGACTTCAAAATGACCAAATTAAACTCCAGGCCTGCTGTGACAGATTGTTACCCCTGGAATCCTTACAGAGATGCTAGATGGATCTGAAATTAAGTAGCATATCAGTGCATGGAAATCCTCAATTTTTTGTTCACCTTTATAACAAACTGAAGCAACGCTCTCTCATCAGGCACTCTGGTGATACAGAAGAGGACGAATCCCAGCAGAGACACCACACACATCTGCAAAACACCACATACAGTACTTTAATGCAGTCGCTGTCACTTAAACATTAAATGCACCATATATAAGCCAATCATGCATGCTAATCCACTTTTATTAGGCCAGTTGGAGATGATCATGTGCATCTCAGAGTCTGTTGGTGAGAAAGGCTGCTATTGTCGCCATGCACGCACACGCACACATCGGTTTAATCTTATTTGCAGTGCAGCAAACCTCCTAAGTTCTACTCTCTGCCAGGCTTGTCATGAGCCAGTCATAACCCTCGTGTAATCAGCATTGTGCAACTCAGCATTGACTTGTCATCTGATAATATATTGACTGCCGCTGCAAATTGAATAGTTTGACCCTCCTCCCTCCCAGATATCTTTATCTCTCACGTTTTTTATCTCGCTCTATTCTCCTCTGTCTCTCTCTCTCTCTCCCTGTGTGTTTCCCCGCTCTTTTTTTCTCAGCGTGATTGGAGTCTTGTGACTAACGTGTGGTATCTAATTTGATTGTTTTTCCCAGGATCTGAGGCAGAGAAGACTTGGTGACCTCAGCGTTTTTCTCCTGGAACAGCAGCTTTGGTCTCGTGAGGCCTGAACTTGAGATGCTCTCTGATCCACCTTATGGCCTCAGAATAATGTATGTATAAGTGTGTGTGTGTGTGTGTGTGTCTGTGTGTGTGTGTGTGTGTGTGTGTGTGTGTGTGTGTGTGTGTGTGTGTGTGTGTGTGTGTGTGTGTGTGTGTGTGTGTGTGTGTATCAGACTCAACATAGTCATCCTATAAAGACATTGCTGTAGGTTTTATTGCCACATTAGCTAATGTTTTACACTTTAAAAGAGATGTATTACAGGATAATGTGTCAGAGTTGAGCAGGCAATGTTATAAAAATCTGTATACTGTTTTTATTTTATATTTATTTAATTTATAATTCATTTTATAGGGGTTTTAACCTTTATTATGATATAGGACAGTGGAGATTTCAGGAAGGAAAACATTGGGAGCAGAGAGAAGGAAAGGATCGGCAAAGGACATCGAGCCGGGAATCGAACTTGGGTCGCAGTAAGAACTTCTGTGCAATACGTCAACACACTTTTACCACTAGGCTATTGGCGCCAACATTTTATTTATATACATATTTATGTAATTTTCATTTCAGTCATGACATAATATTTTTCAACTGAAACTGTATTGTCTGATCACCATATATTTAAAAAAAACTTTTAGAAGAAACTTATAGAAACATACAGTTGAAGTCAGAAATATTAGCCCACTTTGATTTTTTTTCTTCTTTTTAAAATATTTTCCAAATAATGTTTAACAGAGCAAGGGAATTTTCATAGTATGTCTGATAATATTTATCAGACAAATATGCATATAACACTTTTTTAGGGACAAAATTATTTGCCCTTTTAAGCTATTTTTTTCTCGATAGTTTACAGAACAAACCATCGTTATACAATAGCTTACCTTATTACCCTAACTCGCCTAGTTACCCTAATTAACCTAGTTTAGCCTTTAAATGTCACTTTAAGCTGTATAGAAGTGTCTTGAAAAATATCCAGTCAAATATTATGTACTGTCATCATGGCAAAGATAAAATAAATCCATTATTAGAAATGAGTTATTAAAACTATTATGTTTAGAAATGTGTTAAAGAAATCTGCTCTCCATTAAATAGAAATTGTGGAAAATATAAATAAGCGGTCTAATAATTCAGGGGGGCTAATAATTCTGACTTTAACTGTATAATCTGAGAATTACTGGTATTAACCAACTGGTTTAAATACATTTATTTATTTATTTATTTATTTATTTATTTATTTATTTTTAAAGTGTGACTCGTGATTGATGAACAGCAATTCAGATGCATGCAATACATTTTTAAACAATTATTTCGTTACTTTTTTTGGATTGTGGCTCATGATTGATAAATACCAATTTAAATTTTTGCAACATGCTTATTTATTTTTAACTCAAAATGTAAAAAAAATCATTAATTCATTTGTTCATTCATTCAAAACAACATAATTATGCCTCCATCACAAATATATATCAAAATCATTACTTAAACTTTAATTTTTAAAATTAAAAAGCTGTCGCCTCACAGCAAGAAGGCTGCTGATTCGAGCCTCGGCTGGCTCATTCGCCGTTTCTGTGTGGAGTTTGCATGTTCTTCCAGTGTTCCCATGGGTTTCCTCCGGGTGCTCTAGTTTCCTTACAGTCCATAGACATGTGGCACAGGTAAATTGGGAAGGGTAAATTATCCGTAGTGTGTGTGTAAATGAGTGTATAGATGTTTCCCGGAGATGGGTTGCAGCTGGAAGGGCATCCGCTACGCAAAAATCTGCTGGATAAGTTGGCGGTTCATTCCGCTGTGACGACCCCAGATTAATAAAGGGATTAAGCCGAAAAGAAAATGAATGAATGAATGAATAAATAAGTTTCAGTTAAACAATTGACTTGGAAATAAAAGTGTCAAACAAATTGTATACTTGTAATGTGACCAGAAACTCGAAGACATTTTAACAAGAAATCAGAGTTGATGGTACTTTACATTAAGGTTCCACAATTAACATTAGTTACTATCTAAATAACTATTCCAGAGTTCATTTATCTGAGTTCATGTGTTTCAGCATTTACATATTTACTATCAGGGTCAGTTTTATATCAAAGTTGATATTTAGCTGCCCCATGTTGGTGTTTCATAACATTACATTTTTTACAAGGTGGGTCATTGGCTGAATGTTCAACCCCAAATCTGGAGGACTATCACATACACACATACACTACGGAGAATTTAGCCTACCTGATTCACCTAGCGCATGTCTTTGGACTTGTGGGGAAACCGGAGCATCTGGAGGAAACCCACACAAACATGGAGAGAACATGCAAACTCCACACAGAAATGCCAACTGACCCAGCCGGGGCTCAAACCAGCGACCTTTTTGCTGTGAGGTGACATCGCTACCCACTGCACCACCGCGCCACCCTATGTTTCAGCATTTGACATTTTAAAAATCAAATATTGCATCTAATTTTATTTAATGGAACCGAGCTAATATGAATTATACAGTTTCATTTGAATTAGAATGTTGCCAAAGATAAACTTGACAAAGACTTGTTTTAAATATTTTTTTGTGTGAAAAAAGAAATAAAAAATAATACAAACTTCTAACTTTTAAACGTTTTATATCAAGTTTAATTTCACAAGTTGATATTGCACCATAATCCTTGATGAAATAATAGATTTATAATATCCAAGTCATCTGAAAGCTGATGCATACAGTGTTGTCACTCTGATTGATCTACGTGACTGGACATGCATGTCTGTACACAGAAATTGCTTTAAGCTGGCTTGAATCTTTTTAGAATCCTTCGCTATTTATAAATGTCCAATTTGATCTTACCCGCTTATGTTCCTCAGACAAAAATACTGTATAACTGTTGTATTTTTAGATTTATTTAGCTGAGGAACTTGTGGTTTACTAAAATGTAACATCTTTTTTTTTTTTGATATAGACTTCTGTGACTGGAGATCACTGCTAAACAAGCTAAAGTTGTTGTGATTACAGTAGCACTGCTGGTAGTGTTCCTTTCCAGACTTCTTGCAATATGACACTCTCAATGTTGTTCCTTGTATCAGCTTTAAAACTCAGGATTTACCATCAGAAGTTTTAGCATGTCAAGTCTTCAAAGCTTTACATTTTCTTTAGTTCTTCACCTGCTTAACTAAAACTAAGACTAAAACTACTGGTCAAAAACCTTTTTGTTTTCTAAAATAAAAATAAAAATTCACGATGAATGAAAAACTAAACTGACAACAGTTACTAAAATGATGAAAAATTAAATAAAATGAAATAATAATTGGCAACATATTCTCTCTTTTTTTGGTCTAAATTTCTTAATGAAACTAAAAACAAACAAGTCTGAAAATAGTTATACAAAATAATACGAAACCATAATAACCTGGTGTGAACAACGCAAACCACATTGAATCTGATTTAATGTGAATTTGATTCACTTAAATATGCGGTTATAATTAGATGCATTCTGCACAGCAAAAATATTGTCTTGTTTCTAGTCAAAATCAAAATTTGTTTTAGGCTTAATAGAATTAGGCTTTTTTTCAGAAGACAAAACAATAACTTTTACTTTGGCTTTAGTCCCGTATGGTTGCGGGGTCGGCTCTTTGGAACAAGTCCTCCATTTGAATTTGTCCATATGATAACACCTTTTTTTTTTTTTTATATACACCTTCCGGCCAGCCTGTCACCCTTATTCAGTCATACACTACGGACAATTTAGCCTACCCAGTTCAGTTACAGCATGTCTTTGGACTGTGGGGGAAACCGGAGCACTCGGAGGAAACCCACACGAATGCAGGGAGAACATGCAAACTCCTCACAGAAATGCCAACTAAGCTGAGGTTTGAACCTGCGACCCAGCGACCTTCTTACTGTGAGGTGATTGTGCTACCCACTGCGCCACCACATCGTCCCCAGCTTGCATCATTGTTTTTTTTTTATTTTTTATTTTTTTAAACAACGCTTGTTGCTGCCAAACAATATGTCATGAAGTTGGGCCAGTCATCAAATGTATATTTCCTTTAGCTGGATGTTTGTCTGATGTTTTTTGAAAGTCATTACTTGCTTTAGGGCTGCACGGTGTTCACGTGGGTTTCCTCCAGGTGATCCGGTTTCCAAAGACATGCAGTATAGGTGAATTGGGTAAGATAAAATTGTCCGTAGTGTATGTGTGTAAATGAGTGTGAATGGGTGTTTCCCAGTGATGGATTGTAGCTGGAAGGACATCCACAGCATACTGTAAAACATGTGCTGGATAAGGTGACGGTTGGTTTCGCTGTGGCAACCCAGATTAATAAAGGGACTAAGCCGAAAAGAAAATAAATGAATGAATTACTTGCTTTTACATGTAGAAAACATTCAACAAAACTGTTCCCTATGAGGGATAGTTCATGAATATTACCTCCATGTGTGTGTGTGTGTGTGTGTGTCTGGGTTTCTGCGTCAGAGGGCGGGGCCTCAGGTTTGAAATCTCCCGGGTTTGCGCGTGCACGTGAATAACTTGGTTTCGTTCGTACGTCATAGCGAAACACCTAATGAATCGGTATCAAGGCGACTCGTTTGAAGCACTATGAGTCGACTCTTATAGATGAATAAACAGTTTTAAACACTGTACACTAACAGATTTAAGCCTTAGCTGGATACTTCACTTCACTTAGAGCTGTGTTACACACTACATGGAGGGGAATTTTCAAAAACCCATAATATGGGCTCTTTAATTATCATTTACTCTCCCTTGTGTGGTTTTAAACTTTTAGGAGTTTCTTTCTTCTGTTGAACACGATAGAAGTTTTTTTAAACAATGCTGGTTGCTGGCAACTCTTGTTTTCAACAGAAGAAAGATAGATAAATATGTTTTGAAGAAATGATAAGTGAGTAAACGATGACAAACTGTTTGTTTTTTGAGTGAATTTTCCCTTCAAAGTTTTCATGCTGAACTTTTGAATATTTAGAGAAAATTCAAAAGTGTTTGCTTTACTTTATGGGAACATTAGCAAAACATTAATAGAGCATTTGAGCAGAAATTTCATAGAATATATGGCCCAATCCCAATTGTATTTTTGTATTCTTACCCCTTCCCCTTGGCCCTTGAAACAGAGTGTGAAGGAGAAGGGCTTCAAAATGTACCCCTAAGAAATGGGAAAACACTACAACACTTGCACACATCATCATATGTCATCGAGATCTCTTTCTTCATATGAGATCAGACGATTGCGACTGCTGCAGTTATACCAGTCAGGGGCGCCGCTGGCTGCAGACTGTGTCGCGGATAAACGTGAAGAGGGGTGGGGGAAGGGGGTGCGTGGGCCCCTAATAATTTCTCTGCGGGCCCCCAAAATTCATAAGCCCTTAGAACCCTGTGTGGCAAGTGTATTCTGGGAAGTTTTCTTACCCCTTTGTTTCAAGTGTGATCCTGAAAAATCTCTGTTCGAAGGGGTATTTACCCCTTCCCCTTAGCCCTACGCCTTCAAGCTAAAGAGAATTGGGACACCCCTACCCCTTTACATGAATGTGCAAAATGAGGGGTACGGGCAAGGGGAAGGGCTAAGGGGTAGAATTGGGTTTGGGCTTAAGTCAAATATGAAAACCATGAAAACATTTTTTTTTAAATGATTAAAAATGAATAACTTTTAGTTTATATAAAATATAACTTCATAATACTCAATTTTTTATAATGCAAGTGAAATTACTTGTAAAGTTAACCTAAAGTTCAACTTAAAAACTCAAGGCCTCAACTAATTTCTTACAGTTGTTTCGACAGACTTCCACAGCACATGACCTTATAAATGAAAGTGTAAACACTCGACTTCATTGCTCTTGGGTGTGACAGCATGCCTTACACCATCTTTGTTATTGCACTTTTGCAATTGATCATAATCAATTCACACTCAAATATGATATTTGCCACATTAAAAAAAAATAAATGAATAAAATGAATGAATCACAGCACTAACACTTGCAGTGCAAAGTCAAATATTATTCACTGTGTCACTCGAATGTACACATGCTTGCTTATATGTACTGTATGCTTATGTACAGTATAGCCACAGGGTCGATGGATCCAACGAGGCCTCATGCATGGCCACCAAAAGAGTAAACAAGGCATGCTGGGAGTTCAAATTCAAGCTTACAATGATGCCGGCCCAATGGGGCGTCTCCCGGGCCAGCAGAGAGGAGCTAATGGCAAGCATGAGGAAGGCCACAGCTGCCACTGCGATGCCCAGCAGAAGCTGCAGGAGAGCCACCAGCAGAGGAAAGCGGCAGCCACAACATTTCTGGGCTTCCTCCGGCACCGGGCCTCCAGTCTCTGCCTTTGCCTTCTTCTCACTGCTTTGGTTGCCTCCTACCTTCGGATTCATTCCCAACCCCATAATTCCTCCTTTCTTGTGCAGAGGTTCTCAATCTTCCTTTAAAAACAGACTGGACGCTCTTGTTTTTTAGTCCTTTTTTTCCTGCCGTTTCTTTTGCTGGACTGTTTCTTCACACTGGCCTTCCCCTCCCTCCTCACTGGAGGCTTCTCTCTCTCTCTCTCTACTATTCAAATTCAGAAAGGGCTCTGAACTAATATGGAAAACATTTGGAGCAGATTCCAGAAGAGCCGCATATAGAGCACTGGAGAGAGGAGACGGAAAGGAGGGAGGCTGGAAAAGGGGAGGGAATATGCATGAAGGGGGACTCCAACACACGACAACTGCTAGTCTCCCTGAAAGCAAACAGGAAATGGGGATCTTACAAAGCAGAAAGCTTCTCGTCACTGGCGAGAGTTTGAGTCCTGCCAGCCTCACACTGTGTGTGATCTATTCATAAACAGCCTGGAGTCAGTCACATGATTCTGATGAAGTTACGTGACCCGTGGGCATGTGAGAGCGGGTTACAGTTAATCTCTTATGAATATTATGAGTGAGTGCAGATGTGCTACGTGCTCAATTCGTTTTGTGTTAATTATGGAGAGTTGTTAAATACATGCAGGACATGTTTCTTATAATGGATAAGTCTGTATTCGGCTGGACCTTTAGTGGAACTGTTTTTCTTCCCCCAATTTGCTTTGTATGGAGGAAAGGCTTTGATTTAAAGCTCATAATGGGTTAATCTTCTGAAGGCTGGATATTGACAGAATGTGGTCTATTTTCAGACATACATCTATGTGCTGTTGTGTTATGTCACACCTCGCTTCAGATCGAATGTATAAGGAAAGAAATCTCAGTAGATCAAGATGGCAATTCAAGCCAAACATTGCACACTGATAAAAAAATATGTAGGCTATATTGAATATTACAATTACAATTTGTTAACATGAACAAACAAAATTCAAACTAAATAAGTAAGATTATCAGAATGCAACTCTTTTTGGTAATCTGTATGTGCGTGCATGTGTGTCTCTGTAAAAACATTTGACCGAATAAAATCTATACAAAAACAATTAATAGAAAAGTTTATCTGACCTTCTATAACTATAAACTCTCTCTCTTTCTCTCTCTGTCTCTCTCTCATATTATGTACATGTTGTTCTATTGTTGCTTTGATTATTCTATGTTCTTAACTGTAAGTCACTTAAAGAAGTGTCTGCCAAATATTGATTATAAATTGACAAAACAAATAAGTAATAACAGGGCACAATACTGTTATTCTGAAGACGTAATAAACAAATAAATAAATGAAATAAATAAATAAATAAATACATATATAAATAAAACGTTTTTAGCATTTATTACACATAAAAATATTTTTATATATTTAAATTTTAACTAACAGATTATTTTTTGTACATGTAAAAAAAAATGAACTCTGAAGACATTTTGTCTGAATTGTTATTTATGAATAAACACAACGAAAAATTTTATAATAAACAAAAATATTTTACTTGCATTTATTATATATACAATTATTTATTATAATAAAGTTTAAATTAAATTTAATTATTTCTTTTAAAAAAGTTGTATTTTGCCGTAGTGTATAATATTAATATAATTAATAGTTAAAATTAGTAGGCCTATAGTAAATAAATAAAAATATTGTGTTGTATTCCCTAATTTCAGGGGCATCCCGGTGGCTCAGTGGGTAGCAAAATCACCTCACAGCAAGAAGGTCGCTGGTTCGAGCCCCGGCTGGATCAGTTCCATTCCTGTGTGGAGTTTGCATGTTCTCCCTGTGTTTGTGTTGGTTTCCTGCGGGTGCTCCGGTTTCCCCCACATGTCCAAAGACATGTGCCTGTAGCCAGGGGTGGTTCGGGCGGTTCGAAAGACCCATCCCTCACTGATAAAGTCCAGAATTTGACACCTATATGAGCTCATTTATCCCATTTTTGACTGCTATGCCATCATAAATTGTGAAAATTATAGATAGAAGAAGCCTTTAAGACAATAACATTTTTTATAAAAATTTTAATTAAGTGGCCAAGGAAAGTTGAGCTGGCCATTTTTTTGCCAAGGCTACTGTTTTCATTTTAAAACGAATAACTGCAAAAAAGGTTCACTTTTTCAGAAAAAAGAACCACCCCTTTCATTAGGCTGGCTTCAGGACTGGTGAATTGGATGAGCTAAATTAACTATAGTGTATGTGTGTGAATGAGTGTGTATGGATGATTCCCAGTGATGGGTTGCAGCTGGAAGGACATCCGCTGTATAAAATATATGCTGAATAGGTTGGCGGTTCATTCCGCTGTGGCGACCCCTGATTAATAAAGGGATTTTATTTTTTTATCTTATGATTTACATTTTAATATGTATATGTTATTCTTAAATCTGAAAATGCATTTGTCTCAACTGTTCTGCAGTGATGTGCTGGTGTTTGTTTTTTCAGAGTGTAGTGAGCAGTGAACTGACAACTTTCAAGCTCATTTAATTCCCAGACTCTGGAGCTGGTGCAGTTTACACGTGAGTCAGCGCGCGGTTCCTGGAGAAGGCGCGCGTGCGCGGTAGTGGCCACGCGCAGTGTGAGTGCGCGAGAGCGCTGGGCAAAGTGGCAGCTCAGGCGAGCGCGCACACACACATCATCATCATTCAGAGGTGCTGCGCGAGACCGGACACAACGCACTGCCGCTCCGCTCAGATATTGGATTAACCAAACCTCACTGTATAACAAAGTGGAACAAAGTTATGGAAGAAAGAATATCGAGAATGCAGAACAGACAGTTTCTGGATCACGCGGATTTCTTGGGGTAATTTTATATTTGCTTGTTTTGCTTTTAATTAACGCATGCATTAATTTTGCAAGGTATCAAAACGAATTTATTATATTTTTAAAAAAAATAATGTTTTCTTTTATCAGGGTGGAATATTCATCGCTCTACATGTGCAAATCCAAAAGGGGGATGAAGAGAGAGGAAGGAAAGGTAAGCAAACTGTGGACCCGTGATGAAAACGTGACATTCACGTAACACTCAGTGACACTTGCTGTTAAGTATGCGAGTTATAATAATTACTTTACGAACTTTTGCAGTAGCTCATACTTTTATCATCCGCAGGACGCGTACAAGTTACCACACAGACTGATCGAGAAAAAGAGGAGGGACCGAATAAATGAATGTATTGGGCAGCTGAAGGATTTATTACCCGAACATCTCAAACTCACGGTAAAGTTGTTTAGTTTTGTTAACATGTGTTCTGCAAATGTATCTCCCCACATAAGGAAAGTCGGAAAGTATAGACACGCTTTAAATGTTCGTGTTGTCTTACAGACTCTGGGTCACTTGGAAAAAGCGGTGGTTCTGGAACTGACGCTGAAGCATTTGAACGCTTTGACAGCTGTCACAGAGCAGCAGCACCAGAAGATCATCGCTTTGCAGAACGGTAAATTACATAATGTTCAGCCCACACAATGCAATTAGACTAACGTCAAATCCACACGAGGGGAAAGAGTAAATGTCGCTTAAAGTACTTGAACTTAACTAAATGTGCTTATGAACACATAATTATGTTCGTTTCGATTCAAAACTATTAAAAATAATAAAAGCAACATCACAATGTTTATTTTTACAGTTTATCTTATTTATGTTATGTTTACATTTTATAATCTTATCTATCTATCTATCTATCTATCTATCTATCTATCTATCTATCTATCTATCTATCTATCTATCTATCTATCTATCTATCTATCTATCTATCTATCTATCTATCTAAATACTTAATTTAAATAATATTGATTGTATTTAATGTTTATCTTATTTTAATGTATGTTTTATTTACATTTACTCTTTTACAATTTATATTTGGATGATAGATCTATCTATCTATCTATCTATCTATCTATCTATCTATCTATCTATCTATCTATCTATCTATCTATCTATCTATCTATCTATCTATCTATCTATCTATCTAAATACTTAATTTAAATAATATTGATTGTATTTAATGTTTATCTTATTTTAATGTATGTTTTATTTACATTTACTCTTTTACAATTTATATTTGGATGATAGATCTATCTATCTATCTATCTATCTATCTATCTATCTATCTATCTATCTATCTATCTATCTATCTATCTATCTATCTATCTATCTATCTATTAGATAAGTTGGCACTGTATATCAGTCTGTGCATCTGTCAGTTTTCCTCTTTTATATGACAGGACTTTGCCTCTTGTTTTATGACAGGGGAGCGATCGCTGAAGTCTTCCCTCCAGGCTGACTTAGACGCTTTCCACTCAGGCTTTCAAGCATGTGCCAAAGAAGTCCTGCAGTATCTGAACAAGGTGGAGAACTGGACGGCGCGCGAGCAGAGGTGCACGCGACTCATCAACCACCTACACAAAGTTTCTGCTCAGTTCCAGCCAGGCACAGGGATCCTGCAGCAGCCAGTGGCAGGAGACGACGCTCCAGAGCGGGACACCCAGAGAGATCCTCAAGCCAACTGCGTCCCTGTCATCCAGAGGACTCAAAACCTCGAGCTTAATGAGAACGACACTGACACAGACAGCGGGTATGGAGGAGAGGCTGAGAAAGGCGATGGAAAGAGCGAGAAAGGATGCGACACAGCAAAAGGAGTTAAAATCAAGCAGGAGTTTGGAGATGAACGTGTCACTAAAAAAGCTAAAATGAACTGGTCGGCGAATGGTGGTTCAGATTCCACAAGTACGCGACCAGATGTGGCGCTTATGAACTCTTTAATGGGAATGACCGGGGTTGGTGGACAACAAACTCCCTTTTGCATGCCGTTTTACTTCATAAACCCGTCTGCAGCAGCATCATACATGCCTTTATTTGACAAAAGTCATTTGGAGAAGTTGGTGTATCCAGCAGCAGCGGCGGCGGCATTGACCACACCATTTCCATGGCTTTACCCTGGGATCCCCACACACGCCTCTGCTGCAGCCGCAGCAGCCATCGCTTTCCCCAACGCATCCACCGATAAAACCTCTGGATTTGATGCAGCGTCGTCAAAAGATGACGAGCCGGAGTCTCCTGATGATGACCTGTCCAATGAGGCCGACCTGGCCTCTCCTGCATCTGAAGATCACGGCTCAGAAATTGATACAAGTCATCAGCCCCAAAGAAATGACAATGATGGTACATAAAGCTGATGTTTCGACCTTTGAATACACACTAGTTTGCTTGTAAAACCGCTATTTATCTGTTTCTCTTAATTTAATTGTCATTAAGTATTTACTATAGTGTTTCTATGGATTTCCAAACGAAAAGCTGTTCTTTTGTTTGTTTTTTTGCATTATTATTGGTATTATTAAAAACTCAAAACTTCACGTCAAATTGGTTTACCTTTTTTTTTTAGGGGAGAATGGGGGACGTTGTAACAGACAGTGCCTTTTGCACTGATTCCTTGAATGAAAATCTGAACTTTTTTCTTTTTGTCCTTTATGTCTTGCCATACAATGGCATATTGATTGAAAATGTGTGAAATCCTCAGGCTTTGCTCTGAGTTTTTTTGTTGTAGCTGTTTTTTTAAATGATGAAGAAACTTAGTTTAGTGCAATAGTTATTAAGCTAAAGAGAAGCGCTTATCCTAGCGGAACGTTCCTTTCAAAGACTTGGAAGTCACATATTGGACTCTTGGATGTAATGTTTGATACTGACCTCAAGCAGGCTGGTGTGACTGCTGCAGTATTTGTCAGATGTAACTTTCTATTACTGGATTTCAGTTGTCTTTTTCTCTCTTTTCAATGTTCAGCGCTTGAAAGAGTTACCTACATACCTCAACATAGTATTGTGTTTGGGCCAGGACTTCTTCGAGATGCTCCTCTGGTAGGGGTGGTGACGAAATGTTTCGAGCGATTTTATTTGGACAAATGATGTGACCAACAATAATCCTCTGATGTAATGTTACAGCAGCCCCCCCCCCTCTCTCTCTCTCTCTCTGTCTCTTTTTCTCTCACTTTATCTCTCTCTCCCCATCCCAAAAGATTAGTATGAATCTCTTGTAAAGGAAATCAACACTCCAGATCAAACTGGCACCTGTCAGTCAACACTGAAAGTGCTTTGCCAACAATCTGACATCATTGTCCTGTGTCACCTCTAGCAAAAATATACAAGGTATAATAGCACCTTATGGAACTTTGATATTGAATGTAATCTGTGTTCTTTTGGTAGATCTAAAAGTTTGTACTGTATATATTCTGATAAAAGTAGTTATTTAATCCAGAGGTAAAGTGCACTTTTTCTTGCCTATAACACAATCCTCACTCTTCGTTTTTAAGCCAATGCCCTTTGAACTCAAGCTATGTGTTTTTCTTAAGGAAATCTTCTTAAATACCATACAAGGAAAAGTGTTGGATTATGTATCTATAACATCTTAACACTCTTGAGCTGGCTCACTTGAGTCCGGGACAATTGTTAAAGAGGTGAAACCTTTAAAGAAATCAAACGTGCTTTGCCTTTTCGGAAAGCTTTTCACTACTCATGACCTCAGACATGCATATGGGTCATGTTGTGTATTGTACAAATGTTGTGGAGCACTGTAATATGACATGAATCAACATGTGAATGGACCTTTTCAGATTGGGAGATTCCAGGAGGCTCTCGAGTTTTATTGAATGTGTTTATTTTTCTAGGCCTGGGTTCATGAATGCATATAGGAACAGTGATGTACCAGCTGCCGTTGATTTCTGCATTGTAACACATTTCATAGGCCCTATAGTGTCTTTGCCTCAACTGTCATTTGCCTCAACAGTGGCATGTGGATGTATATAGTTTGTGAATATGCTGTATGTTTAATGTTTATGTTGTAGAAGAAATCTATGGAGTTTTTTAAAGGATAAACTGAGCGACTGCTGCACATTTCCTTAATGCTTTACACATTTGCTGTTTGAAATTATGCAGCTCAGTTGTCAAATAAACATAAGCTCATGTGAACAAAATGCTATCGCTCTTCTCGTTCATTCAGCACTGAAACACATGATATTTATTCATACAGTAAAGCTCAACCACGTTCCTGGAGGACCACCAGCACTGCATGTTTCGGATGTCTTCTTTGTCTGTCACACCCATTATAGATTATTCAGGCTCTGCTCTGTGTGTTTGGTTAAGAAGACATGGAGAACATGCAGAGCTGGTAGTCCTCCAGGTAGGCTATGTGGTTGAAAAACAATGATTTAATAACTCTGACAATATCATTCAGTCTTCATAACAGGTCAAAGTACAGTTATTTTTGTTGTGAACCACCCAGAAACACATGCTTACCTACCGATGATATAAAGAGATAAGCCAGGTTACATAACATTTTATTTTATCATAGTTGTTGTCTACACAATTAGCATTTCATGAAAGACAACATGGTCAAATAAAAGTCCCTAAGTTGTAAATTCTCCTTAAGAAAGTTGCCCAGAACTATATTAGGATCATTTAAATCAAGCTTTCAACAAAACCTTCAGCTAAAATGTGTTATTAGTTGAGAAGCAGTGAATGAGTCAGCTTGAAAATCAGCTGACACGATGAAAAACAACCGAAGTTTACACAATTCATGTGATAATCTGACCCAAACCACGTTACCTTAAATTATTGCACAAGAAAATAAATAGGCTATCTGCAAATCATAGCTTGCGGGAAATAAACAGCGAAAACCAGGAAGCAGGGCTCCATGTCCTAAATGCCTGTGTAGAACTGAAGGAGTAGACTTTATGTCTAGAAGTCTTACGTAATAGACTGAGTTGATAAAGGTGTTTGTCTAGTGGTTTAAAGTAAATGGAAAGAGTGCTACATATTTACTTCAGGACTTTGGGGAAGTGAGAGGTGATGAGGGGGCTTTTGGTTTAACGTTACAGCATTTGTGAAGACTAGAAATAATGTTGTGACAGGCCGTTTAAATGCATTATCGAGGTCGTACTGACATCTTGTGGTGAAACTGCGAAGACGCATGGGATGCTTGGCTTACAATGTTTCACTGGAACAAATGAAATGTTGTCTATAATTGGAAGAGATACTGACTATGGTAAACGGTACAAACACTAAACTGTAGGATTTTGGGGAGCTGAGGGTGATGAAGCCCCATGGCTTGAAGTCAGATCAATCAATGAAAATTTTGTAACATAAAAGTGAAATGTATATCTGTATAAAAGAGAAAACCTAAAAGAGAAAACGTTTAGTCCCATTAACATTTGACTTTTTTAAATGGTTATGTGCCTTTTTAAACAGTGTATGTAAACTTCTGGTTTCAACTGTATCTTTATACAGTTGAAGTCAAAATTATTAGCCCTCATGTGCTTTTTTTAAATTTTTCAAATATTTCCCAAATCATGTTTAACAGTATAAGAATTTTCCACACTATTTCCTCTATGGTTTTTTCTTCTGCACTCTTGGAAATAAAGGTACGAGATATGTCACTGGGGTGGTTCAAATTATACATATTTGTACTTAAAGGGTCCATATTGGTACCTCAAAAACATACATTTGTACCTGAAAAATTAAGAGGAAAAGTCTCAGTTGCTTTATTTTGGCAGGAATTAAAGCAGTTTTTAGTTTTTTATAAAACATTTTAAGGTCAATATTATTAGCCCCCTTAAGCAATATATATATATATATATATATATATATTTTTTTTTTTTTTTTTTTTTTTCCGATTATCTACAGAACAAACCATTGCTATACATTGATTTTTTTTGTTACCCTAACTTGCCAAATTAACTTAGTAAGCCTTTAAATGTCACTTTAAGCTAAATACTGGTATTTTGAAAAATATCCAGTAAAATATTATCTACTGCCATCATGATAGAGATAAAAGAAATAATTTATTAGAAATTAGTTAGTAAAACTATTATATTATAAATATGTTGGTAAAGTCTTCTTTCCGTTATTCAGAAATTGGGGAAAAATATACAAGGGGGCTAATAATTCAGGAAAGCTAATTCTGACTTCAACTGTTTATTTATTATGTCATTTTAATTGTAATCATTTGAATATTCAGTAAAATATGTTGAAAATAGGCTTGCTTGGACACCAGCGGAACAGCTTAAAGTAAAAAAAGACAAGCCTATTTCTAATTAGAGATTGGTTGCTTTTATTAACAACAGTACCGTGGAAAAAATGTATTGAAAAAATGTTGAACTCTTATTTAAAGCTGTTGTTTTTAACTGACCAACGAGTTCAGTGGTGGTTTCTAAAAAAGCACTTTTCACAAATTAAACATTTTTGTTTCTCGAGGCACTTTGTGGCTTTTTCATTGACAAAATTAAATTTCTTTATGATTTGATTATTTGACAATAGCCTATACCAACAGCAGGAAGCATGCATAAAACCTGTCATGTTTTTTTTTTTTCAATAGACTTTGAAATTTATAACTATATTTAGAAACCTTGTTATAGTATATTTTTACTTTATTGCAATACACAAAAATAAAAATTAATTATGAACCAGTCAAATTATTTAAATATTAACTGACTAAAATAAGATAAAAATAATTAAATAACACATTAAAATCTGTGTAAACTTTATTTGGACTTTATATGGCAATTCTTTTTTCAATTAAAACAGTTAGGCATTTATAAATCAGTGACATGACAAATTAGACATGTAAAGCTGTTTAATAATAACAAAAATATATAAGCATGTTTTAAAATATACTTTATTGTAAGGCTTCAATTAGACTTTAGTGCAACTTAATAAAAGCTCTTAATTTGTATCTGTGAATGAATTAAGTTAAGAAATGTAATATATATATATATATATATATATATATATATATATATATATATATATATATATATATAACATTTCAAAATAAATTGAGAAAAAGTGTCTATTTAATTCATGATTTTCTTATCAGACCTTAAAATGATGTAACTTAATAAAAAAGGTTTATATCTGTGTGCAATTGATTTTGACTTTAAGGCACTTTATAAATTTAATAATTCAATTAAGGCATATATAATAATAAAGCATGTATAACTGACAAATCAAAACACATTTAAAACCATTTAAAAACACATTTAAAAAGTTTATTTATTTAATGTGTTAAAATTGTTTAATAATTAATAAATACATAAAAATAGTAAACTGAATAATAATAAACATATTTAAAACTGTTTCGTTAAATTAATGTTTTAAAATGTAGCTAAATAAAACAATAAACAATTCAATAAATTCAACAATTCTGTTTTAAACAATTTGTTTACATTTAGATGTTACATTTTAATAGGATCGATAAATAATTTCCTTTTTAAAATTTTCATGAAGGGATATATACATTTCTGATTAACAAAGAATATGAATACTTTTAAACTCAATATAATAAATACAAAAATACTTGACCCCTGATTTAATCTTCCTGCGTCGTTCATCAATCTTTCGTGAAGTGCGCACTGCGCAGAATGCAGCGCAGCCTTGACGCTCGTCAACGCGCCGTCACATGACTGTGAGCAAAAGTTGCTCGGCAGCAGCACATTGTGTCAGCTGACTGTGGCTGTTTGTCCTACATATTAGACCGCACAACAATAACATCCCCACAGCGATACTGCTCTCATTATCGTTAACTGGTCCTGAGGGCTCGCCAACATGAGAATCGCCTTTTTGCTGCTCGTTGTTGCCTTTTTCTGCACGTCCGACGCGATTGTCCGGTAAGGTCGAACGAGCAAACAAACAAACTTACAAAACCAACAACGCAATCCGATCTTTATCACGCGGTGTGACTTGCAAATCGCGCTGTTGTTCATCTACTTGTGTTGTATACACGATTTTTTAAATATTATACCTTAAAATTTAACAGTTGTGTCTTAAAATTTACTTCATGTAACGTTGATGTGTGAAATGCTGTTTATGTAGCAGTTGACTAACGTTACACTGAAATAACAGTCCTTTGTGTAAAAATGATTAAAGCACCCAGAGGTATGGGTCTCCCATTAGACAGATACTGATCATTATTTTTTTGTGACTCAGCAGAAATTAGAGCTGTTTATGTATCAACATGAAGGTCCCTTTGAAGTTTGACTTTAGAAATCTATACATTTAAGCAAGATGATGGTAGTGGTGCAGATTTCTTTACTAGCATCAGTGCTAAAATAATAACTACATAAATGATAATAGTTTTAAGGATTTAAACCTTTTAAAAGTGTTCATAGAAATCAAAAGAAAATTATTCTTAAGGCTAAGCACATTTTTAAAATTTTATTTATAACTGGCTTTAATAACATCAGAAACATTATTTGAATGAATTTTATTTTTTATTGTCTTTTATTAAAAAAAAAATTCCAACACAAATAAATTTTGCTTCATTTTTTTTAAATATGCTCTGATAACCATAGTACAATATACACAATTATAGTAAAAATGAATTTAGCCTGCAATGATCAAAAGTGGTTATTTAGTATTTTGCATGCCAGTTGTTGAACTTGAATATATCATTATTAATAATAGTAATAACATTAATAATAACAATAATTGTAATGATATTTCATAAAAAATAATATATATTCAATATATTTTAGTGGGTATTTTTTATCATTAATGTCTTAATTGTAATTATTGTTTTACCTAGTGTAAAATAGATGTTTAAAAGGAAAATATGAATGAAAAATCTGTTATTAAATGCATTTGTTTGCCAAAGTAAATGCTGTTTGCATTAACAAAGCCAAAATAATTGCAACAAAAAGTATGGCAAAAGACAAAAATGTCCCTAAAGATGTTTAAAATTAAGTCCTCCTTTTCAAGTTCACTGTAGTAAAAAAAAACTTGTGTTTTATGTTTTTAAATGTTATAGGATTTAGTGCTGTTAAAAATTGCAATATTATGCTTGAGTGTAATGACGTTAGAGCGGGGCTCCATATTAAACAATAACAATATATATTTTGATACAAGTTGTTAATGCTTCCAGCTTTAAAAAGAGTATCCCAACAATGACTAAAGCCACAGAAATTAGAGGGTCCATTAAATGTTGGTTGAAAATTTGGTACATCATTAATATCAACACACTTTTGGATTCCCATTGTTGCACATTTCTTCTGTGTGATTGCTCTTAAATCAATATAAAGTAAAAAAGTCCAGAGGTTATCATTGCTATTGACATAAATTTTATCGTGATTCAATATAGTATTGTTGATCGGCCCAGCCCTAAATGACGTTAAAAGTTTCCCAAGAAATACTCCAATAAAGTTTTAAAAAGGCTTTTTTCTTAAGTACCGTAATAAAGCAAAATATCTATAACTGTTCACCATGGGATTTTAAATAATGGCGGAAGAACTTTTTATTTTTACTTTAGAGTTTAATGTCTTGACCCACATACTGAGGTTTAGTTTGACTCACCGCCCTTTCAAAGTTCATAACACAACAGCTTTTACTACATCTTGCCATAAATGTGGTAGTAAATCAAGCCTGACGAACAAAATCTAATTTGAGTTCATGATGATATGTGAATTGTGTAAAATGGACCCTAGACATGCTTGTTTTTAGCATCAGAATGTTGTCATTTGCAGCAGGGGCTGTAGATATGACTAAAAGAAAACCGTGAAAGCTAATGTTTCTGTGTGTTTCTCTTCAGGATACCACTAAAGAAGTTTCGAACCCTCAGACGAACACTAAGTGACTCTGGCAGATCATTAGAGGAGCTTGTGTCTAGTTCTAATTCCCTGAAATACAACCTGGGCTTCCCAGCTAGTAATGATCCTACTCCAGAAACACTCAAAAACTACCTAGATGTGAGTATCTGCTTGCTGACATCATGTCTTGTGTGGGTGGATTGGGGTTTTTGTGCATTTTCATGCTCACATTTGTTTTTAATAATTAGTTAATTCCAGAATGAAAGTTTCCTGATTATTTATTTACTCAGCCTTTTGTCATCCAAGAAGTTAATTAAATTTCTTCAGTCAAAATTTTTTTTATTTGTTTATTTATTGCTTTATTTATTATTGTTTGTTTATTATTGTTTATAATTTATTTATTATTTTCTATTATTATTTATTTATATATTTAAAGAAAATTAGAGACAGATTGTCTCTAATTTGAGCACGGCATTATGGTAAATCAGTAAATTTGACGTCAGAGACAAATGAACGTCTGTGCACTTTTTATTAGCACAAAGTTATAGATTCAGGAAGTTGCAAGAATGAGGACAGTCAGTTATAGTTTAACACACAGTTGTTTTGCTCAGTCATGTCACATGATTATTAAGTGTCGACATGGTGGAACGTGATTTACGGTTGAGGGAGAAAAAAGTGAACCCGAAACCTATTCTGTCATCGGTATTCAGCCAAAAAATATTCTTGTCAGTTTCCTGTCATGTTCATAAAATGGATATCATGATAGTGTGTGGTGTGATTTGTTACAGTCATGAGGTTGTTTGTCAATGCCTTTGTCACAGGTTTCTATAACAATCCGATTTGGAAACAAGCAGCTGATATTATTACCAGTTGTAGTTTTGTAAACAGGCTTAGGTGGTTGAAGTTCTTAGTGGATAAAGATTACATTTGTTTTGCATGACGAATGGGTAATATATGTTATGTGCTATAATCATTTCTTTGTAAATGCTTTCCTGCTAAAAAGTCTTTCATAGGTCATCAGTATTCATCTCACACACACGCATAAAAACTTGAATACATGGTGTTCATGGACTTCATAACACCAGGAAAAATTTTAGAACTTTATCACGTTTTAACACTAGAAATCTTATTTAATTGATGTATTCATTAGTTTGTTGTTTTTAATTGTATATTTATTATTGAAATGTTCTTGCCATGAAAATAGCATTGGTTGTTGACATGGCATTAAATAAAAAATACATTACATCATGGACTCCATAGGCCTTATGTTTTTTTTTTTTTACAGATAAAGAACGCTTATCATATAGCCCTACCCTAAACCCAAAATCTTAAGTATTTTTTTTAGCGAACATTTAATTTTGAACGAAGCCCGAGATCCACTCAATAAAAAGTGAAGTAAAATAAAATAAAAACAGTAATACTGCAATATTAGGTACAAATCAGGTCTGATACAGTCTCATATTTAACCAAAACTGTACAGTTTTCTTACTGGCACCATTTATTTTGGCTGTGGTGTATTCCAAACTAATAATGTCCAGTAGATAGAGCCTCCAAGATAGGTTAAAGAATACCAGACATGAACAAACTGTCTATACTAGATCTTAAATTGGACATTCTTGGTTGACTCATTTTTATTTACTGAATAATGAAGCACCACCTGAATGTAGTTACTGCCTATGTGGAAGTTTGAATAGCATTAGACAACTTTTATATGGAGAGTACTTTAATGGACATTTTTAAAAAGGTACCACCAAGAAGAACCTTAACTTATTTATCAAAAATTTTACTGAAAAAATCATTTTTAACTTTGAATATATTTTTGTGTCATTTTTTTATTTCTACCGTATATATTTGTCTAAGTAACTTTTTATTGTAATTTAAATTTGTTTTTATCATGTAATATTTTTTATATCCATTTTGTCATGAAATAGCCTTAAGTTAAAAAACTTCTTTTGTGTTCAAACAGGTTTGTGACAGGTCAAGTGTGAATAAATGATGACAGAATTTCTGTTTTGGGTGAACTATCCCTAACTGTTGTGAAAAAAAATAATTGGAAATGTGTTGTGCTGTCTAAAAAAATAAATATAAACCTGTCTGAAAATTTGTTTCACAGCAAAACCAGTGTCACAAGCAAGATTTGCAGACACAAGTAGTTTTTTTAAGAATCTAGAAACTGTAAACCTTTGTGAAACACATTTTGTAGCCTGCAGTCTGTTGTGGTGGTGAATTTTAAATGAATTGGGTTTTTGTCTACAGGCTCAGTATTATGGCGAGATCGGTCTTGGCACTCCTGTCCAGACCTTCACTGTGGTGTTTGACACTGGATCCTCCAACCTGTGGGTACCTTCAGTCCACTGTTCCCTGACTGACATCGCCTGCTGTAAGTCCACACAGAGCCTGCCAGCTTTTTGCACAGTGCACTGTCAGGTCACTGATGTCTTTACATTATTCATTTAAAGTGAATTCTTTCAGAAACAAGAAGTTACTTTAGTTTGGCACAGTGTTGCTCAAGTTTGTCGGTGGCAACTTTTTTTTTTCATGGTTGCAAGTATGTTTCTGTAATCTTGTCATAGATCATATCAACTTTTCAACATAGCTGCTTGCGTTTACCTTTTGTAGCATAGATTTAGTGATAACTTTGCTTGATGTGAATGTTTGGGTGTTTCATAAGGCAAGTAAAATTGTGTTTTTTTTATCAAGTTCACTACTTTATGAATGTTCAACATTTAATTTAAAGACATTAGATGCTATAAGTTGTTTTTTTTTTTAATGCCACTTTTTTATGAATGAATTGTCATGAAATGTACGTGGTCTTCATATGTAATTGAAACATTCAATTATAACCATCAGTTTTAAAACTTCTTTTATTTTTTTAACCCTTTTTTTTTTTATGGAAGGCCAAAATACACACTGAGGGTGGTGGGCCAAACTAAATATACCAAACTGTATTGCAATCAAGTTGCAGTTGTAACTTCCTAATTTAATAGTATTAAATATATAAAAACAATAATTATATGTTTTTAGATTTTATATTGTACTACTTACAATAGTCATAAACAATTTAATTTATAACATAATGAATCTATATCTATCTAATTGTGTTTTGGCCGTTTTCTGACTTGTTAAAAATCTGATTAATTCACAGTTTTGCTTTTTTGTAGCTCAGCGATTAAACAAACACAAAATAGATGTAAAAATTAGAAATGTTTAAGGGATTTGCCCCAACCTTCCCCATTATTTCCCCATCTCTTCTCTAATTGGTTTGCGGGCCAAATCAAAGGTTACCATTGGCCAACTTTTGTCATCTCTGTTCTAAAGCCTTTTTTTTATATGTGGGTAAATGCCCTGATGTGTAAAATAAGAATATGTCTCTGTTCATTCCATGTAATATAGTACTATACCTTTTTTTTTTTTGCATGTTTATATAGCTGAAATTAATAACCAATAAAAATGCAACTTGAGGTCTGCATTCTCGACAACACCAGATTTCCTGCGGTGTGGGAATAAATTTCTGAATAAAACACGGTAGCAGTCCGTAACTCCGGTGTAATTTGACCGGGAGTAGGCAGGCTAACAATATAGTGTTCCTGAGTCCCGACGTTATTTCAGAATAGCATATCTGTGTTTTTTTTTTCTCATTCTTATTGAGCTCCAGTACAGCCAGTGCTCACGACTGTTACACATTGAACGCATGACCAGTGCTTTCTGCATGTGCTTTTTTTCCCACACAGTCTGTACATGCGTCATCTGCTTAACAGTTTTCAGAGTGGGATTTACCAACATTGGAGTGCAAAATGAAGATGCGCTGTCCTTCGGCTTGCCTTAGAAAATGGTCAGTTTACTGTTAGAACATTAGGCAAGTCTGATGTATGGGAGTCTTTTTCATGCGTCCTAGACACAAATGGAAAAAAAATGACTCTGCGTGATAATACCTCAAAATTTTACCATTAAGCAGTCACAAGACTGGAACCTCAGGTTTAAGGTGGCACTCATGTCTCATCACAAAGGGACAAACAAAACTAATATTTAGCTTACAAAGCCTATGGTTTTATCTGTTATCTCTCTCTTTTGGTAGTGCCCAATTTAAACATGAAGTTTTAAAAAACAGATCTAAATTTAGTGGGAATGGTCGGGAAGAAAATTATTCTAGGCGGGCAGCGGCTAAACAAAGGCTGAATGTACGGCTGGAGCAAGACAAAAAAAAAAAAACTATACATGACTGATTATATGCATATCTTTTATTTTAACCATGTAGTGCTTCATCACAAGTACAATGGGGGCAAATCAAGCACCTATGTGAAGAATGGGACTCAATTTGCCATCCAGTATGGATCAGGAAGTTTGTCCGGGTATCTCAGCCAGGACACCTGCACGGTAGGAATCAACAGTCACACAGTTTTTAACACTTGAAGTGTTGAAAGCAAGAAAAAGCAATCTGTTATGTCTCTTTTAGATTGGAGATATTGCAGTTGAAAAGCAGATATTTGGAGAAGCTATCAAGCAGCCAGGAGTGGCCTTCATTGCTGCCAAGTTTGACGGTATTCTCGGGATGGCCTATCCTCGCATCGCTGTCGATGGGGTTCCTCCTGTTTTCGACATGATGATGAGCCAGAAGAAAGTGGAGAAAAATGTTTTCTCTTTCTATCTTAACAGGTACCCTTCTTTATATATAGGGCATCCAGATGTACAAATGTCAGTCTATCGTAAGCATCCATTAAATGCAGTTGAAAGTCAGACCTGATGGTTGTTTTATTTGTCTGAAAGAAACCCTGACACTCAGCCTGGTGGTGAGCTGCTACTGGGAGGAACAGACCCCAAATATTACACTGGAGATTTCAACTATGTGGACATCAGCAGACAGGCCTATTGGCAGATTCACATGGATGGGTGAGAGAATTTTGAGACCTTGTGCTGAATAATGCAGTTGTCCTCTAGGGGTGTGTGTGATATTTATATTTCTCTTTAGTGTTGTAGCTGTAGTGTGTTAACTTTATCCAGTATGTCACCCACTTTGCAAAAAAATAAAAATAAAAAACACAAAAATAACAAATCTTCAAAAAGCATTTACAGCATAAAGCTAGTTAAAATGACCTGTCATTTAAATTTTGATATTATTGAACTAATAATGATTATTTCTATAATGTTTGATAGGTAAGTAATATCACACAAACAAGAGTTCTGATTTCCTGAATGTCAACACATGAGCGTGACTTTAAATGTGATGTTGCTTTAAATTCAAGTTAATAAAGTCATAGGGTTTTTGACAAGACACCAAACCCACTAGATTTAAATAAACAGGACATATCGTAATTCTTTCTCTAACAATTCTGAATCTCAAAGGTCAGAATCGATAATGTGCTGACCTGCACAGGCACGAACAAATGACAGAAAAATAATAACAGGGTTTGCATGGTCTTAAAATGTCTTAAATTCACTGAAATATCCTCTTGTACGTCTTAAATCATTTTAAATGGGTCTTAATTTTCCTTTAAGTAAACCTAGACAATCGATCCAATTTGCTTCCGATCCCCAGCAATACATCTCAATAAAACTTTTAGCAAAACTAAATACATAACCAATTTTATAATGTGTGGCTGAGAAATGACTAAATAAATGTTGTTTTTTTGAAAGGACAAGTATTTTTATTTATTGTTTCCTACTCAGCCATTAAAAAATCTTTAGTGTTTAGCCCTATTGACCTTATCCTTCAATGTGGAAGTGTGCTCGTTTTTGCAATTTGTTTTAGAACTTCTGACTCAGTTGCCTATGGGAGAAATGACTAGGAATAAGAAACCACTGAAATGGTCAAGCTAGTTGCTCTTCTAATATGACAATACAGACAAAGCAGAATAATATAATGAAAAATGATCAGTTTGCAACATCAATCAGAATGAGCTAATTTAACATCTAAAAATGAATGGAAGTAAATGAGACATGGCTGCGCCCACTTGTATGCAAGAAATTGTGTGAATATAAGGCTAAAGTTTTGTTCTTCTTGATCTTAAGTCTTAAATTTGACTTGTTGAAACCTGCAGAAACCTTGAATAAGCATTCACAGACAAACACACATATGCTGGCAAATTTGCTTTATTTAAACCATGATGAACAAACTAAGACCACACCATCAATGTTACATGTGCTTGAGCCAATGTACAATGCACCCTCATTGCTTTATTTTGCTTAGTTTTTTCTAGTACAAAGTGAACAGAGTTGAGCCATGCAATGCAAAAGCAGCTTAAAAGTACCCAGTACACCATACTACATCAGCTGAGATTTTAAAGTGTACATATAGTGAAGACCGTACTGTCTTTGAGACCACAAGAAAGGTTTTGTAACTGACAGGAAAAATATGCAACCAATGCTAGAAAGTCATGTAGACCTACACAGAATTTGCATCTGTAGAAATTTCCACAGATTGCTTAGCCTATTATGCATTCAATTGATTTAATTATGTCATTGTGTGTAAATTATCTATTTATTCAGTTTTTTTTGGTTATAATGTTGAATAATATGCTGATGCATAATGTTTTTGTACAATACAATTTTTCATGTATTTTAGTGTATAAAAGACCTACTGTGTTTGTAATTGGATAACCTTAAAAGTTGAAGTTACTATTATTTTGTTTATGGGTTTACATTAATATACAAATAATTTATTTTTTTTAAGAAAATTCTGTGTTGAAATGGCAAAAAATGTCCACAGATTCTGTCTGTGTCAGTAATGTTATGGCAGATGCAGTTCATCCAAATTCCATTCATACTATATAGAAAGTACACTTTTAGTAGAACTTTTAGTAGCTAAAAAGCAACTAAAAGCCAGCCACTCGTTTGGTTTCTAAATGAATCATACTTTTGAACAAATTGTTTGAGTAGGAAAAACAAATATGCACTATGTGGTTAATTAATGTATTTAGAGGAAGCCTAAAATAGTCGAGCACCATCACAAAACACACTCAGGAAAATATGGTTTAATTGTTATCTGAAGAAACTTTTTTGCACTTAAACCATTTTAAATGGGTCTTAATTTTCCTTTAAGTAAACCTAGACAATCGATCCAATTTGCTTCCGATCCCCAGCAATACATCTCAATAAAACTTTTAGCAAAACTAAATACATAACCAATTTTATAATGTGTGGCTGAGAAATGACTAAATAAATGTTGTTTTTTTGAAAGGACAAGTATTTTTATTTATTGTTTCCTACTCAGCCATTAAAAAATCTTTAGTGTTTAGCCCTATTGACCTATTGACCTATTGAAAAACAAATATGCACTATGTGGTTAATTAATGTATTTAGAGGAAGCCTAAAATAGTCGAGCACCATCACAAAACACACTCAGGAAAATATGGTTTAATTGTTATCTGAAGAAACTTTTTTGCACACTGTTAAAATGAAGAAAGTATTTCTGCAAATTCATTTCCGTCCAGCATGACTTTCACATCCTAATTGCACAGTGTCCATTGTTTACTTTTTAACATATTAGATGATGCTTGATTTAAATATGCTAACTCTTAAGGTATAACTGCTCTTAAAAAATGCATCATTATTAACATTTTGCTGTTTTATTTTTTGTTTAAGCCTAAGGGTCACAGTTTTGTCATTTAATTGAAAAATAATTGACTGGTCTGTCCTTTGAGAAGCAAGTGTTTTACCACTGAACCACCAGTGCAGAATATATAACAATGAGCATGTGTGTTTGTATGTTTAGCATGAGCATCGGCAGTGGACTATCTCTGTGTAAAGGAGGATGTGAAGCCATTGTGGACACTGGGACGTCTCTGATCACTGGCCCAGCTGCTGAAGTCAAAGCCCTGCAGAAGGCTATTGGAGCCATCCCTCTGATGCAGGGAGAGGTACTGCACCTTTTTAGTTCTGCTCACAAAGGCTGCATTTCCTTAATCAAAAATGAAGGGTTATATTGGGAAATAGTTTTTTTTATTAATGTAAAAGTTTAAAGAAACTTTGGTCTTCAAAATGATTTAAAATGTATTTTTCCTGTCAAGGCTTATCTTTTTCAAATATTTCTCATTTTTTGTAACTCATTTTAATACCTATTAATAGTAGTAATAATAATATTAATAATAATAATACATTTTATGATATTATTATAATAAATAAATAATATCATATTTATGATGAAAATCCAAAAACAAATAAAATGCTGAGAATTACAAGTTTGTGTAAAATCGTAAATTTATTAACTATAGTTTTAATTATTGAATGTATCTTAATTTATTATTATTGTATCATAATTAATGATTATCATATTAATATGTTCACAATTATTTATCAACTATAACTTAACTTTGTTAACTGTAGTATTAATAATTGTTTTATTTACCTTAAATAAGTTATGATGACAGTACATAATATTTTACTAGTTATTATGCAAGATACTAATATTTATCTAAAAATAAAAATTACAAGTAAATACATATTATGTCATTGGACAACAGGGGTTTGTTTCGTACCTTAAAATCTGAAGGGGGCTAATAATATTAACCATAGCAATTTAAATGTTTGTTTTTTCCCCAGCCAAAATGAACCAAGACTCTCTCTATAATAATAAAATATAATAGGAATTACCATTGGAAAAAAAAAAGCTTTGATTTTGTTAAAGTCCTCATTAACCGGAAGCTGCTACTGTTATTTTGTATTGTGACTCAGTTCCTAGAGAAAGGAATATTAAATGACGCAACAGAGGGCGTGGTTTGTTTTTTTTTTTCAACTGCAAGCTGATTGGATGTAGTAAAGTAGGCATTTCATTCCGAAAGATTGGGAAAAGTGTTTGGGAAGAGTTCTTACAACCTAACAGACACATTCCTCCTCACCATTTCTGTTTGTTGTCAAAACTGACAGCTGGAGCAGCACGTTTAAATATGTTAGCCACGCCCATTCATTATGATATACGTAATCGAACAATTTAACTGAAAACAAACAGGAAGTGCAATTTCAGATTTCAATTAAATATTTTTGTTTTATTAAACACATGCAAGGATGAATTATTCACCTCAACTAGCAATGTGAGCTTCCAAATTCATACAGTTAGTTTTGATTTCTTGGGGACTTTTAACATCAATTATTTAAATGTTTGAAAACACAGAGTTAATAATTCTGTCTTCAACTGCGTGTATACATCTACGTGTATGAGTATAAACAGAGTTTTGACCCTGAAAAATGACTTTGTATTTTAAAGACTGCTTCATTTGTTGAAATGCCAAAATGCGATGATGCTAATCAAAGGTTTCCTCTGTAGTACATGGTAGACTGTAAGAAAGTGCCGACGCTCCCCACCATCTCCTTCTCCCTGGGTGGAAAGGTCTACTCGCTGACTGGAGAACAGTACATACTCAAGGTCAGCCTCATTTTTGTCACCTCAGGGCTGCTGTTTTTGGGAAGTCGAGGTGTTGTTTGTAAAAAAGGTCATGCATGAGTCAGAATAAAGTCATGTGACTGGAGTTTTTTTCTCTTTATTTTCTTGTGTTGTTTGTTGTTATTATTATTATTATTATTATTATGAATGGGCCACAAATATTACATTTTAAATATTTACACAAGTATTTGAAAATAAGTTTTTTTAAATTAGGTTTAACGTTTGTTTTTTGTGTTTTTGTTTGTTTGTTTGTTTTTTAATTTTAACAAAAAAAAAACTTAACAGTTTATTTAGCTATTCGCAACGTGCTTTTTTTGCCATTCAAAACGTGAGAAATGTATAACAAAAAACAATAACAATATTACAACTCTGTGTGTTTGCAGGAAAGCCAGGGTGGACACGACATCTGCCTGAGTGGATTCATGGGTCTGGATATCCCACCGCCTGCCGGACCGCTGTGGATTCTGGGTGATGTTTTCATTGGCCAGTACTACACTGTGTTTGACAGGGAGAATAACAGAGTGGGCTTCGCTAAGGCCAAATCAGTCTAACATTTAACACTTGAGACCTCAGTGTCATGAGAGTAAGGAGAAAAGTAGGACATCTGTCAATATCGTCTCTGCGTCAGTGACGGAGTTTAGCATTATGATGATCCATGTCTTTGCACTGCTGTTAGCTTTTAAAAGTTTTCGTTTTAAAGAGGCACATGGAGAAGAAATGATTCAGGGAAAAGTCAAACCGATGACAAGTTACACTCATTTGCTTTTTAGTTCAGGCTTGTTTGAATATCTGTGATTGCAATGCAAGGTTTTAACATTTTTATTTGAAAATTGTCATGTCCTTGATTTTTACACACTACCTGTTTTAAGATTTTTATTGTGGAATGACTTCTAATGACTGATCAAATCAAAACGGGGAATAAAGCTGTTATAAACTCAACTGTGCTGTTAAATTTATACATATATTTTTTATTGTTTTGTTTATTTGGACATATGTGAAGTTTATTTATAAATTTCGAGAGGATCGCTTGCTCATGAATGATCACAGCTGGTCCAGCATTAGCCAATTCATGATTCACCAATCAGATGATCCCCAAGTCTCCATAAATAACCCAAGTTCCATACCGTAGTCATCTTTGTTTTGAAGAATCCCCTCCTGGGTTTCCTGGTTTGCTCCCACCATCCAAAAACATGCAACTTAAGGTATTTAACTAATCTAAATTGTCACTATAGATATGCTCCTAGAAAGAAGTTATCTCTTCATAGCAATCTCTAATTGCTCATTAGCTACAAACAGCAGGGGAATTCTTGAGATCTACCCGAGCTCAATCTCCCCTCTCACCCTGCAAATGGGAGAGAGGCCCAGGTTTGAGGATGAGCTCAGGGCTCTCTCCTGGGACAGCATGCCAAACACACTTTATAATCTATCATCAGCTAAGGGTGAACTCTTGAAAGCATGTTATATTAGGTCATCATTAATCGTCATATTATTTGATATGTTTACTTGTGTTATTATTATTATTATTATTTTTTTTTTTTTTAAATAAATGATCAAACCCTCAGGTAGTTAAAAAAATCATTTTATGTGGCTAATTATGTTCTTGCAAATCTCCAAAAAGATGCGCACTGTAATGTTGTAATATTTAGTGTGGTGTGTTTGTTTTTAAAATCCATTAATACAAAGTGGCGTTTCATTTTAGGAATTTCAAATGGGCCAATTATTGGATTTTTGCCCAAACCTATTAACTATTTATTAGCTTATTGGTACACTACCTGACAAAAGTCTTGTCGACGATCCCAGTTTTAAGAGCAACAAATAATAATTTGACTTTTTTTTGACTAGTTGATCATTTGGAAAAGTGGCAGAAGGGCAAACAATACTGGGAAACACCCATACACTCATGCGTTCACATTCTTTGGACTGTGGGGGAAACTGGAGCACCTGGAGGAAACCCACGCCAACACAGGGAGAACATGCAAACTCCACACAGAAATGCCAACTGACCCAGCTTAGGCTCGAACCAGCGACCTTCTTGCTGAGAGGTGACAGTGCTAAGCACTTAGCCACCGTGTTGCCATACATTAACATTTCATATTGAATAAAACTGGCATCAACAAATTCTTTAATAATCTTTCAAAATAATTGTGAAGTGCTGCAAAGTCATAAAGCAGAACAGTGTGTCTAAATCTTTTTTTAATCTCAGTACTGAGAAAAGAAATACTGCGTCATTAAGCAAATTCAAGAAAAATATATACAGAAAGAGAGGGGAGCATCAGTACTCCTTACAATGATAGCACATCAGCAAACATACCAACAAACAAAACAAATAAAAAGTCAGCGTACAGGATATTAAGCACTTCTTACCAAAAACATGATCTGTATTCCAAACTATATCTGAATAAATGTATTCATAATATATTTACAGAATACCTTGAAATGTACAACATTCGCTTACTGTATTCTATAAACATTTGAAAATGAATTAGGCACACTTTAAGTTCTCAAAGGAATTAGGGCCGTCCATTAAATGCAATCCATATGCTGATGATGCACAATGATTTAATTACACTGAAAACAAAGGTATTGCATTTTCTCCACGTTTTACGCATTACATTTACATTCTAGACTTTTCCAAAGCGGCTAAGCTGCTTCAAATCTCGTTTTTTTTTTTTTTTGTGGACAGTAACTGCCCTGCAACATAATCTGCTTGTACAAATAGCCATTCTACAATAGAGCATCAACCAGGGGATACTTCGACCCCTACAGAGGAAGGTAAGTGCGTGCAAACCGTTGGGGTAATGGGTCAGGATTGGGGGAGGAGGGTGCGTTAGTACTAACTACATGTATAATACAATTAGAAATGTTCAAACTTTTGTTCTAGACCAGTGAGGATGGAAGAAGCAAAGGGGAATGCTGTCTGTTCGCATGACTGACATTTACACCATATTTAAAGAGGCAGTTTACACAAAATTCTAGAGCAGGGATGCCCAATCCTGTTCCTGGAGAGGTTCCTTCTTGCAGAGTTCAGCCTCATCCCTGATCAAACACAACTAAATCAACTTAAGCTGCGGTCACACTAGACTTTTCTCCCCATAGACTTCCATTCATACGCACGCAAATGCAGCAGACCGGAAACGCAAACTCGTGCTACAAGTTTCGCAGTTGACTGCATTGGAAAGTTTAAGCTTGGTAAACTCTGACCTGCGAAATCACTTCACGTGACAATCAAAATCAAAACATGACCTCTCTGTATAGAAATTTAAAACATGGACCAATCGCTCCCTTTTTGAAATGTCTTATTATCTTGTTTAATTCCGCCCCTTTTTGCAGCGCCATACATCAAAATTTTGCACACATAAACTCTACTGTGAGCGCAGCATAAGTAGGATCTGAAAAGCACTTTGTATTTAAAGACAGGTGTGTATGATCAAGGTTACAGCTAAACTCTGCAGGAAGGTAGATCTAAAGGAACAGGATTGGATTTAGATTTACTCCGTATACATATACAGTCCCTCAGGTGATTCAGAACATCATTTTTCAACTCTTTTTTTTTTTTTTTTTTGAAGAATCTTAAAATCCATCAACATTCACAGCAGGAAAGCTAAATACTATAGAAGTATATATTTTTCAACATTCTTCAAAATTACTTCTTTTTTAGTTGACATAACTCAAAGCAGTTTGGTACAAGTGGACGTTGAGTAAATGATGACAGAATTGTTTTTATTTTTGGGTGAACTGCCTCTTTAAATGGTTTTTCGTCATTCTAAACCTCGCTTTTTAACCCTGGGAAGAGAAACATTTCACACTTGCTATCTTCAGAGAAGAGTTTGTGAGCAGTGGGTAATGGACATCAGTTATGATCATTTTTGGTAGCTTTTTTAAGGCATGAGTAAAATGATTTGTGTGTAATGAAGCACAATACCAGGGGGCTTGTTTATAGAAGGAATGTGCAGAGATTTAATAGAGAGAGCGAGAGAGAGAGTGTATGTGTGGTAAAATCCATGCTAATGTTTAGGGCCCACATTCACAATACCACTGAGAGTTTTCCTGAGCTGCACTATTTTATATAGTTTTTACGAGAAAACTCTAAGCATTTTAAGTGCTGAGACAAACTTTTACTTGGGATTATAGAGAAGTTTTAAGCTAAGAGCAAAGCCGCGATTACACTGCACTTTACACCTTATTGACTTCTATTCATACGTATGCGAATGTGAATGCAACACAACGGAAATGCTCGTGTCACAAGTTTCACATTTAGCTGAATGATCAAGTTTATTGAACTCTGATCTGTCAAGATCAAAACATGACCAAATATTTAAAATATGGAGCAATCGTTTGTTTTATCCCACCCCCACACTCTGTACAACAGAATATTATCTGCACAAACTCGTAAAGAGCAGGGGTGTAACCCCGGTGTCCTGGCCAAAGTCCCTCAATTGGCACTTACGATCATGGTCTCGCAATCATCCCCATCCACCAAATTGGCTCTATCACTGTCCATTTACTCCACCAATAGCTGGTGTGTGGTGAGCGCACTGGCGCGGATGTGGCTGTCGTTGCATCATCCAAGTGGATGCTGCACACTGGTGGTAGCTTTGGGTGTAAACCAAATATGTAAGCAGCACATAGAGAAGATGTTGTTTGTGCGTAGTTTACATGAAGAATATGTGATATTTGTGTGTGGTTTAAACGTAAATTGCATGTCAATTTCCATGAGTAAACAACATGTATTGACAGCATGTACAGATTGCGATTGTGCCACAATTATTATTTTTAAGATTGTCTAATAAATTGGGCAATTTAGGATCTACTTTTAGCGTTAAGATGTTTTGTGAAAACGGGCCCAGATTTATAAAAACTGTCTGTGATGTGGAAAAATAGAAACACTTTTCCTATTTTGGTAGTAGAGTTGGAGTATTTGAGATTATTTCAGCCGCCATTCTCAAATAACATATTTGAACATTGAGTTGTTGCTCTTTTCAATGTGTATATATAGAGATGAATTCAGGGGTGTTTGTAAGATGGAGACCTGAAACCATTTGTGGTGTATTCGCTAAACTAAATGTACACTTAATTGAGATCAAATATAGGATGCTATCTAATGCAATTCCTACACGATGCCCCACAGTTAGATGCAATAAGATGAGAAATTTCAGATTCTTGTGACTTTTGGCCTAAAGTTTACCCTATCAAAATAAACCATTGATTTTATATAGTAAAAGTGTTAAAACCATGTTTTTTTTTTTTTTTTTTTTGGAAGTATTTGATTGATTGTCAATTTTATAATGACAATTTTACTATAAATACCATGGTTAAACTATGCTTAGAGTAGCAAAACCATAGCGCTTTCCACAATAATTATTTCTTCAAAGCAGCTTTACTAAAGGTGCACATTATAGCATTACAATTAAAATCGAAAAAGTGAAGGTTATTAGTTATTATAACTCCATTAGTTACTAATAACTTTAATTGACTAACTAAATACTAATAACTTTATCAGTTAAAATGATTATATAAACAAAGTTAACCTGCAGTTATATACATTAAGACTGACATCAGTAAACTAATTATTTGTCTTAATCTGAATTAGACAATAATATGGTTAAGGTGTTTACATGAGTTGCTTTTTGAATGTTCCTTTTATGTTCCCATTTTACATGTTATAGCACATAATTCGATTAACGTCATTATGCCACCATTCGGCGCTAGTTTCCTCCAGCGTTTCACGAAACAACAGTTCCGTATGTGATTTTGGGTGTTTTGTTTTTAATTTTGCTTAATTCAACTGAAGTCAATTTCTCACACTATGTGTGCAAACAAACGACTGTGGATACAAAATCTCAAGTAACAGGCCACCTCTGCAGTCAGATACTATTAGGTTTCATTCACTAACTTTTCATTCATGCCTCCGCGACAAATTCTGAGATACTTGATTGAAGCCATTCTTATTTGTTTGTCGTCATATGCCTGCCGTGTGTGTACCTGACACAAAGTGTAGCGAAAAGTCCTGCAAAACTAATAGTTTACATGTCTGAACTGCACTTCAATATTCCAATTGAAAAAGACATACTCCATGTCTTAATTCAGTTTCTGTTTAGTTTGATTATGACTTTAGTAGGATTAAGGTAATCAAGTATCATTGTTTACATGGTAGACTCCTAATCAGAGTATCGTCTTAATGGTTTTAACATCCAAGTACTGGTGTCCATGTAAACATATTGACTGATATAGTATAAAGGTGATGTCTATGTGTAGATAATTAATGACGTATTAAGTGTATAATCTTTTATAATAAGGCTCCGAAATACAAAAAGGTCATATAAAGATGTTTGTCGCCCTATATATCGGTTATCAATATCGGCCCAAATTTTAATGTTATCGGTGAAAACTATTTTTAGTAATAGTAATTATTTGTAATATTGAAAATATGATTTTAGTCACCATCACTGAAGTGAACATGTCATAACCCAGTTTTTATTCACGAGGTTTAGAATGACTGTTTCTATAAGCGTGATAAGCTCTGATCAGGCGATTGACTGTGATTGGGTTACACAAAGATGAAGAGGTTTTTTTTACAA